CCACCGGCGGGCAGGGTTCATGTCTCGTTTTCCCCCTTCTCTTCCAGGTCTCAAAACTGGAGGTGGCTCTTCAGGTGGCTCAGGGAACACTTTCCACTACACCTTCCACGGCGACCCCCACGCCACCTTCGCGTCCTTCTTCGGAGGCTCCAACCCTTTCGACATCTTCTTCGCTAGCAGCCGCTCCCGGGTGTTCAATGGCTTTGACCAGGAAGATATGGATATCGATGATGATGATGACCCTTTCAGTGCCTTCGGCCGGTTTGGCTTCAACGGCATTAACGGGGTTCACCGGCGGCACCAAGAGTCCCTGCACACGCGGAGGAAGGTCCAAGACCCACCCGTCATCCATGAGCTCAAGGTGTCCCTGGAAGAGATCTACCACGGCTCCACCAAGAGGATGAAGATCACCCGCAGAAGGCTCAACGCTGATGGCCGGACCATGCGGACTGAGGACAAGATCCTAAACATTGTCATCAAACGGGGTTGGAAGGAGGGAACCAAAATCACATTCCCCAAAGAAGGAGACGCCACCCCGGACAACATCCCTGCCGACATCGTCTTCATCCTCAAGGACAAGCCTCACTCGCATTTCAAGAGGGATGGGACGAACGTGGTCTACACGGCAAACATCAGTCTTAAAGAGGTGGGTATGGGTGGGAAATCCCGCGGGGTGGGAGGTGCCACTGGGTCGTGGCGCATGGGGCCAAGACGGGAGTCAGTCCTTGTCCTGCGCCGATGAGGAAGGACTAGGTAAGTCACGAGACACACGAGCAAAGACCTCTGCAGAGAAGAGCACAGAGGCCTACTCGTGCTTGGTTTTGGAGATGCTCAACCTCCGTGCCGGGTGTAGGACACGGGTGCTGCGGTCTGCTGAACGCGCCTTGCTTCTTGAGCCAATACAGGTGGTATTTACCCATTTTCTCCCTTCCCCATATGTCTTGTCCTTCTATTTTAGCGTAGGGTGTTCACATGTGGAAGAGAGCCCAGATCCTCCGTAGGAACAAGGGAAAACCCCTGTTTGCTGGCATGAGTCTGGCCCCCGCTTGTTCTCGTAGCCGAGCCTGCTGTGGCTTAGGTACTGTCCAGGAGAGCACCGGGTGCCGCTCCCCACGGACAGAGAGCAGGGTCACGCGGAGAAAGGTGGTACCTCGCCCTCACTGAGCAATGCTTCATCGTTTTAACTTGGTTCTGGCTTTCCTAGGTAAGGAATCAAATAAACGAAATATTCAGGCAGTAAGCAAAACCCAACACATCCAGGCTGCCAGTCTGGAGGTCACAGCGGGGCTGGATGCATCAGAGCCAGCAAGCCGCGCGAAGGTGGGAGAGGAAGGGGAGATTACCCCGGTACAAGATGTGCCGTTCGCCGCCACTTTTAATAAATCCCAGCTGGCAGCTGCATTTAACATTGACGTTTTTGGCAGCTGCCATTTGCTGTTCCTTTCAGACTGTAGACACTGTCTGTCTTCTTAATGAGCGGATTTTTTTTTTTTTTCCTGAAGACAGATTTATGTTCTCAAATGCATTTAATAGAAATAAGCTCAATGGGCCAGACCTGAGGTAGGGAAACGTGAGCTCGTTAGTGTGCCAGCGAGTCAGGATAGCTTTGTGATGGCTCTGCTTCCCAGCTGGGGCTGTGACCGGGTGTACTGGGGACAAGGAGCAGCCGCGTGGGTCGGGCGGAGCTTGGTGCTCCTGCAGCAAACTCAGCTCAAGCTCCTGCAGCCTGAGGAGTTGAATTTTCTTTGCAGTGCAAAGTGAAGAGGTTTATTCCTGCGGTGGTTGGCTCCCCTGGCCGCTCCAGAAGTACTCAGGAGAGGCTGCCTTATTTATGGAGCCATGCATGCCATGTCTCAGGTGTTTCCTTCTGTGAATTCCCCTATCTGTAAAATTAACCCCAAGCTGGCTGTGCTGATGTCCAGACCACGTTAGCCCAAGTTCATGTGCTGCTTAGGCCGGAGGGGCTCTCGCCTGGAGTTGCCCTTTGAGCAGCAAGCGGAGAAACCTGCTCCGGCCCCACGTGCTATTGCACCAGAAGTGCTGGTGCTGGGTGCCTCTGATCTCCATGAGCAAGGCGTGCGTACTGGCATTTGCTAGTTCGGGCAAATTCCTTCTCTCTTTGAGCTGGAATTTCTGGTGTCTGTCCTCCCCCACTGCAAACCCAACGTGCTGGGCATCCTCGGGGAGCCGCTGGCCTGGATGCCATACCCAGCCTGCTGCCTGCCAGGGCAGGGTGATACTTTGCTGCTTTTATCTTCCGTGAGAAGAAGCACCTTACGTGCTCTGGAGCACGAGCAGATGCCGGCAGCTCCCTGACTCCGTGTGCCACCACCTCAGTACGTGACGGAGCACAATCGCTTCGTCACCTGAGCCTTCAGCAGTAGCCTTGGGCGCTCTCCTTGCACCCTTCCTCATGCGAGGCTGCGTTTTTTAGCCCGAGCTTTCGTCTTTTCCGCTGCCATGAGAGCAGGCAGAGCTGGCAGGCGGTGGGTGCC